AGCTATATATTTTAATAACGTGGCTATCACATTTCTTTTCTTTTAATATTTTCGCATTGGTCTATCTCGACTTACCCTAGCAATTCTTACTGGTATTGTACACTTGCTTAAGCATGTGGCTGATGTCGGCGTTTATCTTTACTTTTCAGGAGAACAACACCTTTTTATTAGATCCTGTTCGTGAACCATCCGAATCAGAAGATGAACCACCCAAATCGAAAGATGAAGAACGCTAAATTGAGAGTCAAAATACATAGTATCATTTGCACGCTTTGATTCAACTTTTAATTCCAAACAATAGGTTTTATCTAGTTCTTCACTTAATAGGATTCAGTATTTTTCCTGGTGCTATGAAGTTTGTTCTGTTCTTCTGTCCATCTCTGTGATGGGTAAATCCCTATGACTTTCGTGTAGTTGTTTTCACTTACGTGGTTTATGTTCTACTATGCATCTCTATGAAAACTCATATGCTAGAATTTGTCTCTTTACCTCTATACATTGAGTTTCAAACCTTGTCACCACAATAAATTTATATATTTGATGTTTAGCAAAGGTTGTTAGAAAGGGTTCAAGTTAGGGGCTCAGGCACTGGCTAGGGGCAAGAACTCAGCCTAGCGCACGACCCTCTTGCAAAATTTTAATTTTCTGGTTGCTTTCTCTATGTGATGATAACCTGATATTGATTGCTTGTATATTTTGCTAAATCTGTTTACATATTACCTGGTATCTCGCAATTGCAGGTGGCCTTGAGCAATTTGAGAACACTTAACTCAATGGAATCTTAATTTGATCCTTGACTAGAGACTACCCAATTTAGGGAATTTCAAGAATTTCAAGTTATATTGGATCATCTGTCCCCAATTTTGTAGTAACTTATCACAAAGCAACCAGATCGTAGAGTGGCTACGGGAGTGAAAGCAAGAGCATCTATTTTATAAAGCTCTAGCATTGAGAGTGTTCCCATCGCATGCCTATATTAATAATGTATACACATATTTTGATATAATATTATGTGAATTTGACTAAGTTTAAGTATTTTGTACCAGGTCATGGAGCATTGTACTGATAATATTCATAGTTTCTTAAAATTTAAGCTAATACATTCAGCAGGATTAATTTTATATTATAGAGAACCATTATTGTTCATGCCGTATCCCATGTGCTTAACTGCTTATGTGTCACATAATGAGCCAAGGGTTTTTCCATTTTTTGAGCCAAGTTTCTTCAAAAATGCCAGGTTGATTTTCATAGCTGCCATAAAAGCAAATTTAGGCAAGAATTTTGACATTCTTGAGGAAGGCTGAATACTAACTTAGAAAAAACCCACATAAAGTGTTTACTGCCACATAGTTTTGTACCATACAGAACTACAACGCTTACACGGACTGCAGAGCACGAGTATCAGTATTGGAAAGCGTGGTTGGACATGGTTTCACAAATAGAGCGATAAAACGTGATTTGATTTGAAAGCATCTCTAATGCAACACATCTATAATATAGCCTCCACCTAGGATAAAAACGCTTCCACCTAGGATAGAATAGAAGCTGCTAAAATGTGAAAATTGCTATACCAAACAGTGTCCCTAATGCATTTTCAAATAGTTATAACCATATGTCATACGCAATTTCATGTTGCGTATAAGTTAAACAAATTTTGTAATGTTGCGTATAAGTTAAACAAATTTTGTAGCACGCAACCTCATGTTACGTAGAACTGAAAACCAAAAAAAAAAAACACAAAATATGTTATACACAACCTCATGTTGAGTATAACAAAAAACACAAAATATGTTGTACGCAACCTCATGTTGAGTATAACCGAAAATCGAAAAAAAAAATTACAATATATTGTACGCAACCTAACTTGAATAACAACCAAAGTCTTAAGCAACCCCATGGATGAAAGAGCACAACCAAAGTCTAAACTAGCGTTACAAAGCTTAAAAGGCTTAAAGTGCATCTGAAAGCTGAGGTATTTGACATGGCAATCATAGTACCAGAATGTGATAACCATGAAATTACTAAATCAGTGCCATTAGGAAACTAAAAGGAAAATAGTAACAAAAGATAACCTGCCTTGTTCTGTCCTGCACACTTACCAAATAAGGAGAAGACAGTACTAATCAGTCAATTCATAAAGGACAAATAACATAATCCACAACTCCAATTTGAAGATTGGAAGTGATGAACATCTCAGACTCAGTTTATATTTGGGGCATTCATTTACATTCTTGCCTTTCAACAAAACTCTACTGTGAAATAATCATGTACAGTTGAATATCTACATTACAAATAAAAGTTCAAAAGAAGATGGTTGGCTCGCCTCTGCAGGTGGCTCGCCTCTGCCAAACGTTTAACATCCTTTGCCTTTGTATAGAGCTCCATCAGATCATTGGAAATATCATTGCAATGGCATGTAATAAATGCACAAAAGAGGCTCTTTCATCCTAAATGCTTTCAACAGGTTCTCCTTTAATTTGCGGATTTAAACCCAGATCTTGAATCTTCTCCCCTACAAGATATCAAGGCTTCAGCACTAATTCCAAATTGGAGGGTGTTTTCATATTACAGTGGCTGGGAGCATCATGGTGCCTATGATGAAAGTCATGTTCCCCTGAACCTTGTCTATGGAGAGAGTGAGCACAAATGGCGAACGACCAAAAAGGACCATGATTTGGTCACCTGAGAATCTGCCACCTTTTCACGAATAGTCTCGAGACGGGAAACTGCAATGACAGAGACTAAGTGCTTGTACATATTGGAATTTGTGGAGACACCAGACCTAATACAATCAAGCTTCTCATCATTGAGGGAGGTCCTGGGAATCAATGTGGGCCGAGAAATAAGCAAACGTATCAAGTCTTCTTTACTGATTCCTAGCCCTTGGTATATTGAGATGCAAAGTATGATTTGGTTGTGTAATCGTAGTTGAGGGAAGGATTTCGAATGATGGCCTTGAGAAGCACCTCCTTCGTTCCAAACAAGGACTGGAGGACATCGATGCGCTCATCAAGGTCACCACCGATCTGGCAAAGGAGTAAGCGGGGACGACATTGTATGATTTTTACAAGGTCAAAACTGCTGAAGCCCAAGCCAAGGAGTAAAGTGAGCTTGGAACTAAGGATGCTGGGATTGGCTTTGAGCAGAGAAGGTGTGCGCTGAAGGATCTTAGATATTTCAGCCTCAGTGCAACCACATCTCTGGAATACTTCCGTAGAATCTTTTGGATCTGAGTCAGAAGCCGAAGAGTAAGACAGGCAAGCTTTTATGGGGTTCAAGACATTGGAGAGTGGAACAGAGGAGGATGAGCATGATGTAATAAAGGTAGGTAAGTTAGGATACAATGAATAGTTGTCTGAAGGTGCAAACTTTAGCCACTCTCATCCACTCGTCTATGGTAACTAATATTCTGCTCTATTTATGGTCGAGAATTATCAAGACCAGGAGTGATTAGAAGAAGAGATGTTCGTTCTGCATAAGCGATGGCCCGCCGGCCACCACAATGTGGTGAGAATCAGCCAGAAGATTAATCTGTAACACCCAAGAAAAACAAATAAATTCTAACAGGTGAAGCAGAAAAAAAAGAGACGAGCCGCTGGGATTAATATTTCACTCAATATTTTACTAAAAAACCAGCAGATACTAATTGGCATAAATTAATTGGTAATACAAAGGTTGACAGGTCACTTGGGCAAATGTGCAAAAGTATGGTATTATTAAAACTTAAAAGTCAAGAACTATCTAAACTTTTTTTGAATCAAACAACAAAAGAACACGAGGATTTGTTCATTACTAGAACTATCTGAAATAAACTAGGAGAGAACTAGGGCTGGGCAAAACCGATAAACCGATCCGAACCAAACTGATCTGAACACTTTGAAGGGTGTTTACCTGTTGAAGTGTTCGGTTGCAGTTTCATTTTTGGTCAAACACTTGTAAGGGTGTTCAGTTTTGAAAATTTTCAAACACCCAAAACCGAACCGAACATGTTCTACACAGTACATACTACAGAGCCCAGCCCACTGTCTATACTATACACTCTAAAACCCAATCTCTTTAGTGTTTACTAAAGCCCAATCACTCTACAGAGTACAGACCACTCACCACTCTTCTTCTTCAAATCGCAAACAACTGTATTTCATGAACACTCACATAAACAAACACTCACAAACTGACTTCATGAACACTCATCCCACTCACATAAACAA